TCAGCCATGCTGTGGAGGCAACCCATATATAAAATAGAAGAAGGTTGACACAGATGTTAGCTCAGGGCTAATCTTCCTCAGCAAAAAAAAAAAAAAAAAAATTAAATTTTAGTCCCCACTTCAGCTCTTTCCCATGGTGACAATTCACTTATAGATGTCCAGGGCCTCCATGCTCCCTACTATGGAGCCCTCAGGGAAGGGCCTGGGCTTTGGACAGCAGGGCCCTGCTCTATCCAAACGTCACCTAGCACAGGAGAAGGCCCGAGAAAAGCAGCCGGATAAACACCTAATGCAGGGCTTCTTAGCTTCCCAGTGTCCTTCAAATCCTACCAAATGAAAACCAGCTCTTTCCACCTTCCGCCATGCTGGCATCTTATTCTCCCCATTCTTGCCGCTGTAAGTCCCCTAAACCCCCAAAAGGGCTTATACTACCCTGTCATCCACCTCGGCCTGTGCCCTCCCTGCCTCAGCCACACTCAGGGCCACCTCTCAGCCTTCGCCCTGGCAGGAGCCCCTATGTCCACACTGAAACTTTTAATGTCACATTTATCCACGACACAAAAAGGTAAAATATAGAATTTCTTTTCCTTCCCTCTTAATTCTACTAAATAACTACTCAAAAAGAGAGAGGCATGAAAATCACCAGCACCGAAAATGACAATTCAACTTTCCGAGTTCACTCTGGATCTCTCATTGTGCAGGTTTCTCAGGTAATCCTGCTGAGGTCGCACTGAAGCTGTGGAAGCTCACTTGGGCCTGGGAGCCCCTCGGTTCTGAGCAGCATTCCAAGTGGGTGCTGCGGGCTCCCTGCCAAGTGTTAGGGCAAAGGATTGTCTTCGGGGGCCACACTCCCGGAGAACATCTTGGCTTCTCTGGGTGTTTGTTTTCCCACTTGTCAACTGTGATTTGTTTGTTAGTTTGATTGCACGGTCACCCAACTTCGACCTCCTCCAGCCTATGGTGGGAAAGTGGATGTTTGGCCTTCCTTCCTTCCTGAGGAAATTATAAACTAAAAGAGCAAAACTTCAAGCCATGTACAAGACAGAACTTTTCCAGAATTCAAGGGAAAAGCACCTGTGAAGTCAAGCTTTTACAAAGGGGTCGCCTCTGGGATTCACCTCATCTCCCCAGTCAGCCTCTCCAGGGCTCTTTTCACACCTCCCTCACCAAGAGGTTTCCTCTTCAAACCTTCCCATGCAGATATCCGCCCGCCTTTCCAGAAGGCCCTACACCCAGGAGGTGATTCTTGGATTTATCCCTTCTCCTGCCAATAATTCAGGTCCCTAAATCTGAGTCATTGTCCGGAATGAAACTCTGGGGGTGGCGGGCTCAGCTGCAATGATCATTAATGTTGCAGGTTGGCAAACTGTCCAGGAGGGCAGGGTTCTGGTGTGGTCTCACAGGGAGGTCCAGAAAGGGTGTGACCCTTTAAGCTGGGTCCTCTGCCTCATGTGAGTTGCAGGCATGCCATCTGCTTTCCTGATTTTTGCAGCTGGCTAACTGGTTAGACCACACACATGCACACACACCTCCAAAGGACCAACATCAACGCTCAATCTAAACCCATAAGGAGGAAGGGCATATTTTCCTAACGCTGACTCAGACTGTTCAAGAAGCTTCGTGCTCCTTGGCCAGCAAGTCACAAGATTGTGAAAGAAGTATTTGCTTGCTTTCACTTCCACCCCCGAACATCCCCCTTCCTAATTGTGCCCTTTTAGACTCCCAGGAACAAGGAAAAAGCCTAATGTAGGGTCATACACCTCTTACTGTCCTCTTCCAGGAAGAGGTGAGGTCAGAACTTCCACTGCCCCACTCACTCTCTGTTAAAGGAGGCTGGATTTAGGCAAGATGTGCTGGAGAATGACACCTGGCCTGCATGGGTCAGTAAAATCCCTGTGTGGTTCCACACGTAGAAAAACAAGCAGCTACTTTACTACGCATTCTTCTATATTCTCCAAACTCTTTAATATGAGCCAAAGCTATTTGATAAGCACAAACATGGATGACACTTCTGAAAAGGGACCGATAACCTCTCCACCCACATATATCTCTCTGCCAAAAAAGAAAATCAATTTGGAGCTACCTGAAGTTCTGGACTAACAGTTATCACTTTTCCTTTTATCTATATGACTTAGAACTGTGTTTCTCAAATATAGTATGCAAAATCCCCTGGAGGGCTTGTTAAAATCACTGCCCCATGGACCACTCTCTCCAGGAGGTCTGGAATGAGTTCATCATCCCCCAGGTGACTCTGAAGCAGGTGGTTGGTCTCTCCATAGTTAGCTCTAGGGCTCTCAGCAAGACAATGGAGCTGGTAGAATTGTAAAAAATATGTTCATTCCTAAATGGTTAATCTGTCCTCCCAGGATGCCATACTTTCAACAGAAAAAATAAAATCTATTCTAAGGAGTAACCATATAATAGAAGGTTATACCTACTTTGTGGAAGGAAACACAATGACAGAGAACAATAGAATTTGTGGATTAATTAGCAATACAGCGCTGATCTTTGTGCAGTTACAGACTGATAAAATAAATACATCAGACTGGCTCACAAAACACTTCCCGATTTCTGAAGCTGAGGAAAATTCACTGTGTTTAAGGTCAAATCTGAGATGTCACTTCCATCGGAAGAACATAACCATTCAGCATGTTGTATATGAGGTGACTTTGTTCTGGTATTTTTTCTTTGCACTCTGTTTACAATTCTTAGGAGAAATTTTTTAAAAATGAATTTTAAATATTATATGGGTGCATATGTCTATCATTCATTTATTAAGTAAAATTTTATTGAGGACTGAAAACAAAGATACAAAGATGGTTGAGACAAGCCCTCGCCGTCATGTTGCCTACAATGTAGTGGAGGAGATGAAGGAAAATAAATCAAGGTTAGGTGTCAAAATGGAGACAAGGTATATGGTACAAGTGAAGTATTCAGGAGGAAGTCATCTTGGGGAGGGCAGAGGAGACTCAGCCTGAACTGGGTCTTGAAGACATAACAGTTTGCCAAGGGGTGAGCAAGGGGAAAGGAGAGATAAAAGAACTGAAGGAACATGGAGGTGTGAATTTACAGGGCAAGTAATTAGGATTGGCTAGGATATGGGACACTAGGGGGGACTGGCTGGAGGCTAATCTGGAGAGGGAGACAGGAGCCAGTTCATGCTTAAAACTGGGACTTTATCCTGAAGGCACTCTGAATCCATTTAAGGATTTTTAGCAGACGTATTGAAATATAATTTGCTTAAAAAGAAAAGTCTAAGGAGGCATGGAGGCTTGATTGGAGAGAACACAGAAAGAAGATCCTTCTGGAAAGGATGATGGGGACTGAAGAGGGCAGTGAAAGTAGAGGGTCCACACTGAGAGATGTCTAAGGGCAGGGGGACAGTGCCAGTGACTAGCTGGATGGTAGGGGAAAGGCAGATGGACAAATCTGGGATAACATCCGTATTTGTGGTGTGTATAGCTAAGAAAATGGGGGTACCAATAACCAAGCTAGCACATACAGGCAGAAGAACAACTAAACTTGTTCTGTAGTTCTCGTGAGTTCTGTTTGGGATATACTGGGCTCAAGTTTCCTGAGGGTCACAGCAGTTAAGATATTTGGTAGATTATATATAAGGGTCTGAACTCAGGGAGATGTTTAGAAGAAGTCATGGTTTGGGGCAAAGATAATATTCCAAGTACTAACAAGTGGTATGGACAAATAGTCAGGCATAGATACTGACCAATCAGAACAGGTGCCTGATTGATCAGAAAGGATCACAGCCATAAACAACTAGTGTGACCACGTGTGCACGCACCAACTGAACACCACCTTGGTACTGACAAGCATTGGAGTGGTTGAGAGTCCTCAGAGGGATGAGAAGGGAAGAGGCCACAGGACAGAACACCTACAATGGAGTAGTGCCAAAGAAAAGAACCTGGAGAAGGAAGATGAAAAGGAACAGTCAGAGAGATCAGAGAACCAACAAAGTTTCGTGTCACGGAAGACTGGGGAGCAGAAAGCTTCAGATAGGGAGGAGGGACAGTATGGACTATGCAGGAGATGTCTTACCCATCCCTTCCGAGGCTGGACTATTTGTGGTGTGGATGTCTACGGAGACCTGGGCAAGTTCAAGAGCAATGCTCAGGTGGTACCAGCAACAATGGAGTTTCAAAGCTCAGAAGACGTATGAAGGTGACTCCAGCACAAGTTAGGATTCTAGGAGGAAGCACTTAAACTTACCCTTCCCAGGAGTGATACCTAAAGATGGTGTCTCCCACCGTTCTGAAGCTGAAGAGTGTTGGGGAGGGGGGGTTGGCATGAAGGCAGCCTCACTGAGGCTATTTCCCACTATCAACCAAGCCTCACAGGGCGGCTGAACCGCCTGCCCATCTTCCTCCTCTGCAGACAGAAAACAGACACCTATCCCACTCACTTGCCTGGGCTAATGAAAGGCTGTCTCTGGGTTCTCGAGTTTATTCATCTCAAGCCTGTAAAAGCTCTTTCCTGAAACATTTCTCCATTTCTCTTCTGTAATGGAAAATTAAAAGCAATTCCCCACACTTGCCTCAAGCGGCTCTAAGACGGCACGGGAGCATTCTGCAGGTTCTCGGAGAATCTGAAAGGGAGGCAGAAGGAAGGAGAGTATGAGAATGAATGCAGAATTGTCTGAAGAAAAAAAAGGAATATAATAACTGCGGAATTATTCGAGAGTGAAGATACAGAATTAATCTTTGATAAAACAGGTGAAAATGTAGTGTTCTAGTGCAATTGTAAAGAACGCTTATTAAGTACTTGAAAAGAAAGAAGATTTAGGTTTCCTGAAAGAAAGACGGGTTGAAAAGTTCTTAGAGCTAAAATTCGAGATGCCATAAAAACTAAAGGTAAAATACGATTTCTAATTTCAATCTTTTAGGGAAAAAATCAGCCTTTGATTCACTTGTAAGCCAGATCCCACGCACCCCTCCCCCCCGACAAGGGCCTCGGCGGGGGCAACCTGTCCTCGTGTCGAGGCTGTCCTGCACCACTAGAGTCCATCTCCTGACCTTCGATGTCGTGATAAGCGAGCGCAGCCACATCAACCTTGAGCAGCCAGATGCAGCCGCGTGTGGCAGCCTGGCACTGCCCCGAGCATGCTCAGTCGGGTCCTGACCCACTTCTGCAGGTCCGAGCTCGGGGCAGGGGGTCGGGGGCGCTACTTTGTTCGTTTGTCAGGGACGGAGAGGAGGAGGAGAGAAACTGGGAGTTGCTTAAAGCCTCCTTCCTCCTTGACAGCAATCCCTGACCCGGCGGCGGAACATGCCCAGTCTGGCTGCAGGAGCCACCAGGAGCGTTAGTGTGTAAAATCCACCTTTCCGGGTTTTGCAGCAACCGAAGGAGGAGAGGGAGGTACCAGAGTAAAAGGATCGGAGTGGGCGTGGCCAAGGGGCGGGGTGAGAGGAGCTAGGGAGGAGGAGCCGGGTCCCGGTCCCCGAAATTGACGGTCTCTCGCAAGTCTAAAAAAAAAAAAATAGGCTGCTTACATTGCAGGATCGTGCACCCAAACTTCTGTTCTGCAGGTGTTTTTTATAAGTTTAGAGTAATCTATCTTTCTTATTAAAAAAGCATCATCTTGTTCATTAGAGAAAACTTAGAAACCACAAATAATCGAAAAAGGAGAAAATTTACGAATCCCTGGAAACCCACCACTCAGAAGCTACCAGTGAACGTCCTGCTGCGTTTTCTTCCAGTCTCTTGTGTGCAGGCTTTAGAATTGACAGCAGAGGTACCCGGAAAGGCCTGCGAAGCTTTTGATTGCAAGGTGGCTCGACAGACGGCCTTGGAGATAGGGTATGTTCGGGATCGGTTGGTTGGTTCTCCCTCGCGTCCCAGGATGGAAGCCTAAGAAGCCTGTTCCCGGGTGTCCCTGAACACCAGTGCGACGCGACGCTCAGAAAAGTTGCGGTGGGAGCCCCGGGAGCGCCCCGCCCCCCGACAATTGTCAGTCACGCCGCCCAAGCGCGGCAGCGTCAGAAATAGGTGCCCTGCGCTCCGGTAATACCGCCGCACGCTGGAGCGGAGCCCCGGGGGCCGCAGAGTCCCGCCCGGAGGCTGCGCCGACCGCCTGAGGGCTCCACGGCACCCTCGGCCCGCCCCTCTCCTCTGCGGGCCGGCCCGCCGCTCCCTCGGGTCGCCCGCGCCGCCCGCTCCGCCCCCCGCCCGTGGCTGCCGCGAAAACCCGGCGGCGACACCCCGCCCGGCCCCAGCCTCCGCGCCGCCCGGCGAGCCGCACTGGGCATGCTCGGCCCCGGCCAGCTCCGGCTCCAGTAGGTGGGAAGCTCCGCACTGCCGGCTTCCCGCGGCGCAGCCCGCATCCCCGCGAGGCGCCGGCGAGGGCGGCTCGCCCGCAGTAGGCGCTGCGGGGCGCCGCGTGCGGAGCGCGGCGCAGCGGCAGCTCTCAGGCTGGCCATGGCGAGGGGCGCACGGCGGCCACCTGAGTGGCGAGGTGGCGTCAGGTTAGCGGGGGCGCCGGGCGAGCCGGGGCGGCGGGGCGCAGGTGGCAGGGAGCCCCGCACGGGGTGGGCGGCCGAGTCGCTGCCGCTGCCGGGGCCGTGGAACTTTCGGGCGCGTGGGCTGGCGGAGCCCCCGGCGGAGGCTGCGCCGTGGGAGGCGCCGCGAGGTCCCAGCAGCAGGCTCCTGGGGGTCGCGAGATGCTTCGAGATCCGTGCGGGGCGGGACCGGGAGGTCGGCGGGTTGGGGATAGCGTGTCTCGGGCTTGTGCCATAACCTTCCTACGGCGAGGAGCGCGGTGTCTACCGCGCGCTGCCGAGGAGACTCCCGAGTCTCCGGGGGGAAGGGGAGCCAAGCAGCGGCGGGGGCCTTCGCGGACTCCAGATCGCTCGAGTCACCGTGACTCAGTTTCCCCGGGACGGAGGGGAGGGTGTACTGCCCGGGCCCCGAAAGCCCTGAGTGCGGATTCCGCGTCTGGAGCCGGGAGAGTACGCGTCCTGACGCTGCAGGAGTGCGGGAGGCTGTGGGCGCCGCGAGCCGCCGCCTCGCGACTGGAGCTCTCAGAGTTTGTCGCATTTGACTCCATAGCAAGTTGACATCGAATTGCTTCATGGCGTGAAATGGGAAACGTGCTTCATGGCTTAAAAAACAAAGTAATTGCAGAGCAGATTTATTTTAAGCGCGATCATTAACCTGCCTTCCCCTCCAAAAATCTTGAGCTTGCAAGTTGCAAGATTTATAAGGCAAGCTAGCAAAAAATGAAGAATGTTGGCAGCTCCACTATCTGCTCACACTGTAGAAAATAATTTATTACGGTTGAATTGTCTTTGTTTTAAAGGATACTTGTTAACAGAGAAGTTTGGTTACTGTAGCAATCTTTATTTTGCGTTATGTTAGCTTTATATTAGGAACTTGGAAACCTAGTGTTGTAGAAGCGCAATGTTTTTGGTAAAGTTTTCTCACTTTTGTTTCTAGATGAAACACATTTTTTCAGTTGCTACTATGCTGAACATAGTAAAATTGTTCAGGACGAAATGCAAGATGGAAGGAAATTCATTTTCAGGAGAGAGTAACTTAGAACAATGTAGTTCTACTGGTATTTTACTTATAGGGAAAATGCAATTTGTGGGTCCCACTGTGGTTTCTGAGGTTGGTTTTTCCTAAAACATTAGTACCATTACAACTCGTAGGATTATTGGATCTAATAGGAGCAAGATAAATAATCTTTATTCTAGTGGGAACTAGTTCTACCTCTAACTAAAGCTAATTTTCAAAGCCTGTTTTCATAAGCACCACTTAGTGGGTTCAGTCGTTTTATTTATTAAGCTTATTACAAAACTTCTTGTTTGCGTTCTTGGTAGACCTTAATAGACTTTTGAGGTGCATTGACTTTTCACTGGGTTATGAATAACCTTTAATGTTTCTTTTTGCCTGAGATAGCTCTGGCTCTAATTCCAGATACTCTGGGTGATTTTCCCAGGTGGGCTCTGGGCTATGCCTGTACATAATGGAGATTTAGTAACAGGAAAGGCTTGAAATGTCCAGACAACAACAACAGTAGCAACAACGTACTTACTATTTCTACAAATTAGACCTGCAGTCCTCCGTTTTAGCCAAATAGTTTGGTTGGTGGTGTTCATTGCTCCCAAATGTATTTGTAAATACAGTATAGAAAAATTTAGAAATTTGAGAAAACCCAACGCAAATATTAAGAAATTGTGCTTCCCTTTTCTATAAAAATGCATCAAGTTTAAAATCTGCGGTGAAGTACTATGTATATGCCAACCTATCTGTGCAGCAGGTCTCGTGTTCTCAGGCTGCATTCCCAAGGGGACGTCAGTACCATCTCCCCTCAGCCTTGGGTTTTTCCTGACCTAGAGGAAGCAGTGAGGCCTTAGTTTCCCCTTTGTGAATGTGAAGTTTAATACAGATCAACAGGCCCCCTTCTGGATCTAAAAATCCTGTTTTTTCAGTGTTAGGAAAGACAATGAAATTTAACAAAAGGCATGTTTAAACACCACCCATGGCTTCAAGAACTCCACAAGAGAATGGAGTCTCCTAACCGAAAACTAACAAAACCAACAGATTTAGGTTGAAGAGGGGTTTTATTATTGCTAATAAAGAAAAATAGTAAAGTAGACTTTGTATTCGAATTAGAAAACCGGTGATGATTTCTGCTCTTTTGTACCTAACTGTTGGATTCTTGCAATTCAGCTGCTAGGCACATAATTTTTAGTTTGATTTCCATGTCTTTAGGTTCTATACTGTAGGGTGTTGTTAGTGACACTAGATATTTATAGCAAACTATTGTCTTTAAAAATAGATCTTCCCCCCATTCACATGACCTTAATTTATTCAACTCCTTGTTTGGCTTGCAATTTAAATACTTGAGGCTATTTAAACTTTGCTTAATTTGAACTTTTTGTTCTATTTTTTCAATGCGAGAACTTTCAGATACTGAAATGCCAAATAAATATTGTGGCAAAGTTGCTTTTAACATCCAACACAGCACAGTCAGATTTGTTAGACAATAATTTTTTAGAATTCAGAATCATGTAGATAATATCACTTCCCTAACTTGACATCTAACCAAGCACTTGGGGTATGGCTTGCCCTTTTATAACCAAGCCCAGGAGGACACTTAAAACTTTGACAACATTTTGTGATCCATGCAAATCATATTCATAGTTAGAAATAGCCTTAGATGCAAATGGTTGGTTTTAAGTTTGCTGTTATAGGGGAGGAAGAGATATACCTCTATCCTCTAGGTTTTTCTGGCTGGTCTAAGAATTAAATTGACATGAGACAGAATAACAAGAGAAAATCAAACAAATTTAATAACATGTATACATGGGAGAAACCTGGGAAAACTAACATGCTAAAATGGCTGAAGCCACCACTTTAAATACCTTCTTCAGCTAAAGACAAAGGAGGATGTGGTTTTGGAATTCAGCAGGGAGGAAGGTAATTCACATGGAGATGGAAAAGCAAATGTTTGGTAAACAAATGTTTGCCATACCTTGCAAAGACAGTGGGACCTGGGGAGGACTTTGATCAAACGGGCCTTGCTTGGTTCCTCCTTTTCTACCATTATGGTTATCTGTGGTAATAGCTCCTTCCTGAAACATGCCTTCTATCTTAAATTCTTTTAGGAAGTTAGCGAGAACAAAGTTTCTTTCTGAGTCTTTTGTTCTTAAAAAGAATCAAGCCAAAGAAACACATTTTGGGGTGGCAAATTCTGATCCCCTACACTATTATACTTCCCTGGAATGGTTGAAGGATTAAGGAGTTTTATTGATTATGTGATAATAACCAGTTAAGAGCTGTCAGAACTACTTTCTAAGTTATACTCAAAACAGAAGTCCTATGAATTTATTGGTCTTGCCTCTGCCTCCACCTGAGGTCTTTACTCATTAAAATTTCACGTTCATTTTTCTTCCCCACAATTTTTTCTAGTTAGGCCCTTGAGGCTGCAAAAACGAATAAAACTAGTGACTCACAATCTAGTCAAAGAGATATGCTTGAGGACAAATAAGCTACAGTACAAAGTAAGTACACCAGGAGACATGTATGTACCTGACTAAGGAGACATAGGAATGAGCTTCCTGGCTTGGAGGAGGAGGGGGCCTCATGAACAGAATGACATTTCCACAGAATCTTAAGGAATTGGGTAGGAGTCTTATAAGCAGAGAAGTGGACTCTCCAGGCAGAAAGAACACCATTGTGGTAGTTAGAATAATGCCCTACAAAAATCTCCACTTTGGGACTTTGCAGATGTGAATAAGTTGAGGATCTTGAAATAGAAAGATGATTCTGGATTATCCAGTGGACCCAGTGTAATCATGAGAGTCTTTATAAGTTAAAGAGGGAGGCAGAAGTCAGTGTCATAATGATGTCATATAAGAAAGACTCCTCTGGCCATTGCTGGCTTTGAGGATGGAAGGGAGTCACGAACCAAGGAACGTGGGCAGCCTCTAGAAGCTGGCAAAGGCATGGAAATAGATGCTCCCCTAGAGCCTCCAGAAGGAACCAGCTCTGCCAACTCCTTGATTAGCCCATCATGACCCATGTTGAACTTTTAACCTATAGAACTGAAAGATAATAAATAAGTTTGTGTGTTATCACTAAGTTTGTGACTTAGTGCTATAGAAAGGAGCCATAGAAAGCTAATACAACCATATATAAAGAAAGATTTGATATGATGGAAAGATGGGCAGGGGCAGGAGAAGGGGAATGAAGTGGTCCTTTCGTTGTGATGAACTCCATGTTATGCAAAGGAGTTTGGATTTTATCCTGTTATAGATCAACACTGGGAAACCAGCTAAGGATTTTTAAACAGG